CCCGGACATGTCCGGGAAAATCCGGACGTATGGTAACCCTATCCTGTGGGGAAGGAAGACACCCAGCATAGCATAGCCACGATTGGGGAGGGAGTGTCAGTTCCTGGGGGGATTTAGGGGTGCACCTGTGGGGGAGACCCCAGCGCAATTATGGTGGGCGGGGGGGTCAGGTCTTGGGGGGGATTTGGGGGGTGCACCCACGTGGGGGGAGACCCCCCCCAGCCCAGCTACGGCGGGCGAGAGGGGTCAGTTCTTGGCGATACTGGGGCGGGGTCTCTGGCTGGGGGCAGGGCTGTGGAGCGCGTGACAGAGCCCGAGCCCGAGCCCGAGCCCGGTGCGTGACCCCCGCTGCCCGCGCGAGGCTCGTTGACTAGCGCGCGGAAGGGGGCGGGGCCAGGCGGGAAGGAGGCGGGGCCCCTAGGCCCATCTACTCTTATAGGCGGGCGGGGCCGGGCTGTGAGGTCGCTGGCAGCAGCCTGATGACGTAGCGCGTTACACGCCGTGCCGAGCGGCTCCCAGGGCGGTTGGAGCAGCGGCGCGAGCCGTGACGTAGCCCCTCCCCCTTGCACGAGGTGGGGGGTTATTTCCGTTAGGGCGGTTGGAGCAGCGGCGCACGCCGTGAACATTGGACACGGCACGTCATCCGGCCCCGCCCAGCTCCACAACGTCCCTCGCGGGGCTGGGGGGGTGGCAGTCTGCGGGGAATCCGGGGGGCGAGAGTGAGTGTGTGAGGGGCAGCAGAGGGTCCTGTGGCACCTTTAAGACTTCAAGTCAGGTTCTTGCCCACGAAAGCTTATGCTCCAATACTTCTGTTAGTCTTAAAGGTGCCCCAGGACCCTCTGTTGCTTTTTACAGAATCAGACTAACAGGGCTACCCTCTGATTTTTGAGTGTGTGAGGGGATGTCCATGGGGCAGGGCTGTGGGGGGGGGGAAGCAGGGTGAGCGTGGGGAGAAAGCAGGGTGGGATGGGGCTGTGGGGGGGAAGCAGGGTGGCTGTGGGGGGTGAGGGGGAAGCAGGGGGCTTTGAGGGTGGGGATGTAGGGGGGTTGGGTGTGGAGGGTTGTGGGGGGGGAAGCAGGGGGCTGTGGGAGGTGGGTGGCTGGGGGGGAAAGAAGCGGAGTGGCTGTGGGTTGGTGCTGCTGTAGTTCATCCCAGGCATCAACTCCAAGTATGCCATGGCCTCTGTCCCACCGGCGCTCAGACTAGAGCAGGGGTGGGCAGACTACGGCCCCGGGGGCCGCATCCAGCCTTCTCCCTCCCACCGGGGAGCGGGGTCAGGGCTTGCCCCACTCTGCACAGCTTCCAGAAGCAGTGGCATGTCGTCCCCCCCTTCTCTGGCTCCTACGCATAGGGGCAGCCAAGGAGCTACGCACGCTGCCCCTGCCCCCACAGCTCCCATTGGCTGCCTCTCCGCATAGGAGCTAGAGGGGGGATATGCCGCTGCTTCTGGGAGGTGCTTGCGGTAAGTGCCACCCGGAGCCTGCACCCCTGACCCCCTCCTTTGGTCACAGCCCGGAGCACTCTCCTGCACCCGCAACCCCTCATCCTCAACCCCACCTCAGAGCCTGTACCCCCAGCTGGAGCCCGGAGCCTGCACCCCCTCCTGCACTCCAACCCCCAGTTTTGTGAGCATTCATGGCCCGCCATACAATTTCCATACCCAGATGTGGCCCTCGGGCCACAAAGTTTGCCCAACCCTGGACTAGAGGATCACAGTCATCCCCTCTGGCCTTAGACTCTCTGAATCTAGGATGCTAAACTCTGGCAGTCAGTCCTCCCCACCCAGTCAGACAGCAGGGAATGTTTCTATCCCTCCGTTTGCCCCCTGCAAACAGGAATAACACTCAAGGAATTTCCTGCAGGCAACAGTGACAGGGCTGGAGAAAGAACCCAGGAGTCCTAGCTCCCAGCCCCCTGCTCTAACGTTACTAGGCCCTGTCATGCTGTCTGGAGTTGTTCCTGACACTCACGGTGGCCTGTCAAAACTAGGGGCAGATACCCCAAACCAGTTGTGTGTTCCGTGATTCCATTTTACCAAGCCAGTGACAACTGTGAACTCTTGGATCGCTGTACCTGTCTCCTCATGGCGTCACAGACAGTCCCCTTACACCGTCGAGTCTGTCTTGCCACTCAGTGATTGATTGTCACTTACACCAAAAAATCTCACCACGTTCAGGTTGCCTCCAGTCACTTCCCCCAGATCAACGGGTCTCCTGGATCTCCCCTCCTGGAATAAACTAGGTCAAAGGAATCAGTGTTATTTACAAGCCGACGTCTACACCACGAGTTACCAGCTAAATCCGAAGAGTGACTGAGTCTTAGTGATCTGTCGGTTCAAAGTGTCTTTCAGGGCAGACGCAGGATGCAGCCCCGGGTGGTCTCTGGCCCCTCTGAGTTCAAGCAGCCAAAAAGATGGAAAATTTCCCTGTGGCTTTATTTCCTTCAGTCAGCTTCCAAGCCCGCAGGACGAGCTCCCTGCCACGTTGCGTTTCCCAGGTGCGACCGGGCCATTGACCAGTCCCGTGTGTTGTGATGATCCCACACGGCCCAGCTGATTTTGCTCGTCCTTCTGGGAGGGCCGGCGGATGATTCCCGTTCACAGGTTCAGAGCAAACATTTCCAAAGTTATAACGCAAAACTTCCATCTTTCCTGCTAGCCTGGGATACAGACATTGCAACTGCGATTCATGCCGGCAGCAGCCCTTGCCCGCGTTTCATAAAGTCTAAAGGCCTTCAAGGAAGACTAATAACTATTTTGAGAAAAACGAACACACCGATGACCTGAGCTGGTCTCCGGCTAGGAGTTGGTCAGTTCATAGCTAACGCCTGCAACCTGGGCAAGAACTGGCTTCTGGCCTGACACCATCACAGAGCCCACTCCCCTCCCAGGGCTAGGGAGAAAACCACTGCTCTAACCACTAGCCCCCCCTCCCCATCCAGAGTCTGGCAGCATGAGCACTGGAGTGGGCGGTTCAGTAGGGCTCCCACACTGCTGCTCTTCTTCCCCCCGTTTAACTCTTAGCTTCCCGGCCCCACAAGCTTCTTCTAAGAGGGGGGTTGGTCAGGGTGTGTGAGGACAGTGCTGAGCTTGGGTTGAGGAGCTCTGGGTGGGAGCGGGATGGGGGGGATGTTTAACAAGCTGGGCAGGGGAAGGGCTGGGCTCTAAAGGGCTGTGGAGCCCAGTGGAGAGAGGCAGAGGGGAGGGGGCTTGCGGGGGGGGGGCGTGTCTCTGGTCTCTAACCTCCCCCCCTGTCCCATGCAGGGTTCGCCTGCTCCTTCGGCCAGCAGCTCCCTAATGGGTGGTGCCGTGAGTGAATCAAGTCTGTCATGTTCATCTGGAGGGCATTCACATGCCGAAGAAGCCCCCCCAGCCTGGTAAGGTTCCCCTCCCAGCCTGGAAAGCACCCCTGCCCCTTCCCTCAAAATCCCTTTCTCTTCCCCCAGGGGTGCCCCATGCTGAGTGAGGGGGCAGCCATCCAGCCCCAGATCTTCCCTCACCGTCCTGGCCAGCCCTACAGCTCCTGCCCCTTGGAAGGGGAATAGGGGTGAGGGAGAGGCATCCCCCCAGGCTGTGGGGCAGGACAGCTCCCCCCAGGGATACAGGCGGTGAAGGTGGGGGGCCCCCTGTACCAGATCAGAGTGGAGGGGTACCACCTCTTCCATCGCAGTGAGTGGGAAGGGGACCTGGGGGATGGGGACAGGGGGTCTGGCTCTTGGGTGCTGGGGGGGGTTCAGCAAAGCCCATGGCAATGCCCCATCCCCACCTGCTGCCTGCACTTCTCCCACAGTGCCCCTAACTAATGCCACCACCTGCCTTCCCAGGGGCACTCTGTTCCCTCCCTGGTCCCTTACAGTCCTGACCCCCTGTTTCCCCCCAGGCTCCCTCCTCTCATACCCTCCCATGGCCACATTGGGACCCACTCAGTCCCTCCCCCACAGCTTCTCCCTATGCACCCCTCAGGTTCTCCCCAGTGGCCCCCCAGCCCACCCCCTCCCAATGAGGCCCACACAGTCCTCTGTGCTCCCTTCATTGCCTGGACAGTGTCCCCACATGCTTCCCCCAAACTGAGAGGAGAGGACTGTTGGCGGCAATGTGGGGGGGTGGGGGGGAATCAGGGCTGTGTTGGGGGTGATCCCTATATCCCCCCCCAAATACAGGGGGACAACAGTGGGGTGGTAGTAGGGCTGGGTGTGAGGATCTGGGTTGGGGACCCTCCCAGCTCTTCCTTCCCAGGTATGGGGGGCAGCACAAGCAACCTGGATTTTAAGGTGATGTTGGGGGATTAGGCTGGGGGCATCGGGGTTGTATAAGAGGGTCCATGTCAGGTGATTGGTGATGCGGTGACCTCCCCCCCCCCCCCATCTCCCCCAGGTGCATTGAGATAACGCCAGAAAGCTGGAGTTGGGGGTTTTAAGGGGATTAGGCTGGGGTGGTCGGGGCTGTATCAGAGGGTCGGTGTTGAGTGATTGGTATTGGGGTAACCCCCCCATCTCCTCCCAGATGCAGGGTGACGCCAGCGAGCTGGATTTTGGGGCGGTGCAGCGGGGGGACCCCAAGATGGAGCAGAAGATGAACCAGGTGTTGCAGGGCTGAGTGGGGATATCAGCCCCATCTGCAGCTTTCATGACCAGGGGGCTGAGGGCAACGGTGAGGAGGGGCTAGCCGGGGCGGGGGGCTGATGCGGTGGTTCCAGGGTGGTGAGGTGTGGGGGACGGGCAATGGGAGCAGCTGGGGCCCCAGCAGTGGGTGACTCTTCCCCTCCCCGCGGGAATGTGCTAAAGGAGCCAGGCCCATGAGCTACACCAGCTCCCAGATGTGTGGGGACCCCCTGCCCCCTCCATGCCAGCCCCTCCCAGATGCGTAGGGACCCTTTCCCTCCATGCCAGTCACTCCCAGGTGTGTGGGGACCTCTGATTCCCCCATGCCAGCTGCTACCAAGTATGTGGGAACCCCCCGCTCCTGCCCCTACCCCCTATGCTGGCTTCTCCCAGAAGCGTGGGAACTGCACCCCTCCCACATCGACCCCTTCTGGGAGTAGATGGGTACGGACGCTGGGGGAGGATAGAAAACTAATAGCAGCCGACTATCTGTGCCATTTTGTCCAAAAGGTTTGCAACATGGTTGGCAGAGTGACCACTCTGAAGCTTCAGGAGGGAACAAAGCCAAAGGACTAGGAGGGTGGGGGTTAGCTGAAGAGCCCCTCGCCCTTGCTAAACAGGTAGCTGAACAAGGTCCGTGCTCATGGAGACAAGATTCTTTCCAGGGGAGAGACGTCCTTGAGTCTGTTTGTAAGGGATTTGACTCATTCTGTAAGTGCGTGAAACCAAAGGAAAAGCTATCGAAGTAGCAGCTGCCACAAAGACATTGTGGAAAGCTGTCGCTGATCGCTCCAGCCTGGTAGCACTCCGGGAAACACAACTGGAAGATTACAAATTGCAGTTGGATACAGTTAAGGATAATTTGGCTCAGTAGAAGGCATCACAGGCAAAACCAGGAGAGCGTCAGCAACTGAAAGTAGAAAACCCGGGGAAGTATCTACATTGCAATCGAAGCTGGGGGATGCTCAGGCGGCTGTCAGAACGGTGTTTCAAGAAAATAACGAGGGGGCCCGGACAAATAGTGACCACGCAGTCTGCAGGCAGCGGACAGTAGCAGCAGTAAGAGGAGAAGTAAGTGCGAGCACCAGGGATACAGACACCTGGAATGATACTTGGAACGGGGATATTTGAATTGATCCCGAACAGAGAGATCTTGGATGGTCATATCCTTCTGATCTACTTTTCCTGAAGGGCCCTATGGCCCTGTGCAAAGGGAATTGCAGGATTTTAAATTAGAGGCTGTGATGTTGTGCAGTCTATATGGTTTTATAAAAATATGGTAAGTGAATATAACGTAACTGGGATATGCTTCATGCAAAAGGTCTCTTGTAAGGTATCATTACAAAGCTCATAATCTAATGAGTGTGATTATCCTGTTTGTAGAAATGTACCACTCTTGTATCTAAAACTAGAAATATAAAACATAACTCTGAGGGCCTATTGTAATTATGTAAAGTGTGGGCCATTAAGGATGGTTTGGAATCTTGATGACTCCCATTGTCTGCAGATGTCTGTATTTACCTGTGAGTCTTCCTGTATGTGTGTGTGCTGGCATGTGATCATGTCACCTGAACTAGAATCCATCTTTAACCTGGTGCTTTTCCAGTGAGGGGGGGTGGAAGCCAGAGGGACAAAGGGTTCCCGCCTTATGCAAAAGATATATAAAGGGGTGGAAGAGAACAAGGGGGAG